TTATTTTTTAAGGATTTTGAGTTTTGTTCCACATTGTTCTCTCTCTCTATCCAGAATCTCTTACATAGATCCCCCTCTGAGTGTTTGACAGTGGTGGCCAGGCACCATCTAGTTCTTCTGGTCTGATAGTCATATAAGCTGAGGATCATATGGTGTACCAGTTGCTTGGACTAATTGTTTCCATGAGTCTTTGATTTCCTTCATTCTTCTTTGCTCTGGATGAAGAGAGAGTCATTGTTGCATCTAGATGGCTGCTTGCAAGGTTTTGTGGCTGTAATCTTTACAGAAGCACTCCACCAGGTCTTTCTTCTGCGGCACTGCTAAATGGGTTTGAACCACTAACCTTTAGCTTAGTAGAGAGCACAAACCATGCAACCCAGGGACCTATAAAGCGTACCTAGTGATTTCTTAATCATTTCAACGATTGCTTTTTATCTATTGGTTATTTTCACTTGCTTTTTATCTATTGGTTATTTTCAGTGAAAGCACATGTATATTCAGGTTTTAAAAAATATAGTAAGGAGGCCTGGTGGCTCAGTGGTTAAGTGCTTAGCTGCTAACCAAAAAAGTCAACAGTTTGAATTCACCAGCTGCTCTGCAGGAGAAAGATGTGGCAGTTTGCTTCTGTAAAAATGTACAGCCTTGGAAACCCTGTGGGACGATTCTGTTCTGTGGGATCTCTATGAGTCAGAATCTATTCAGTGGCAATGGTTCTGGTTTGGAAATATGTAGTTAACATAACAGCTTGACAAATTAGCATTGTAGTAATTACTTGCTTTACATAGTGGTAAATGTATGCTTTTTTAAAAATGGTATTCTTGGCTATTATTCAGTCCTTTGTATTTCAGATTTGACTAAGATGAAATCAATGTTTTGAGATGCAAAGCACTTTTGTAGGTAAAAGTCAGATATTATTTCCCCAAAAGAGAATGTACAGTACTAGAATCTTCCTTAGAGGGGAAGAAAAGCCATTCATTTAATCTGCTATTTTTTTTCAGCTTTATTTAATTTATTTTAAAACTTAAAATGTAAATCCTTTATTGTGACTTTTTCCTTCAAAGTCTCATTAAAACAAAAAAACAAACATAGGAGCTCTGGTGGCGTAATGCCTAAGGCATTTGACTGCTAACTAGAAGCCTGTCGGTTCAAACCCACCAGCCATTCCATAGAAGGAAGATTGGACAATCTACTTCCATAGAGATACTGCCTCAGAAACCCAAGGAAGGGTCACTATGAGTTGCAATCGATTACTACTCTTAATTTAAAATTTTATTTGCTCTTAGAGCTTACACAATTTTAGGATTTCTGGATGATTTTTGAACTTTAATAAAGCCTTTGCTAAAATAGCTTTGTTTAGTGGAAAATGGAATCTTGCAGTTTTGTAGGTATGGGCAAGTTGCCACACATTACTTCTCAATTATTCATGAAGAGATTATTGGATATAATTATTAAAATTTCATTAATAACATGTAAAAGTAGAAAATACAGGATACTGCAAAAAAGCAAATGAAAATCTATGCAAATCATATTTTATCATTTTTCTATCTCCTATTTGTTGTAGTTGAAGTGACACTGTAAAAGCCTATTTTTTTATTATGTACTATGTGTCAAGTAAGGAGCTCTGGTGGCGTAGTGCTTAAGGCATTTTACTGCTAACCAGAAGGTTGGTGGTTCAAACCTACCAGCCACTCCATGAAGGGAAGACAGGGCAGTCTACTTCCGTAAAGATTTATTGCCTCGGAAACCCGGTGGCATCACTGTGAGTTGGAATCAACTTGATGGCAGTAGGTTTGGTTTTTTGGGTTTATGTATCAGGTAGGGGAGCTCTGGTGGCATAGTGTCTAAGGCATTTGATTGCTAACCAGAAGGCTGGCAGTTGAAACCCACCAGCTGGAAGCTTGGGCAATCTACTTCTGTAGTGATACCACCTTGCCAAACCCAAGGAGGGATCGCTATGAGTCAGATCCGACTCGACGGCAGTGAGTTTGGTTTTTTTGGTTTTGTGTCAAGTAGAGTAAGCTAGTAGCATCCCAATATTTGAGTCTCCTATTGGAAACTTTTCTTTTGCCACAGAACATATCATGTGGGCTTTTGGGGACATGACACAGGGTCTTTCGTCAGGATACTGAATTACTATGCTGTGTTTTATAAATTTCAGGCATTTTACTTATCAAGTTGACTGTACGCCCCTCCCCACAAACTTTAGAAACCAGAACATTCAGATAGGACTTTCTCACTAGTTTAGTGACAACATATTTGAATCTTGGATTCATCCTTGGGGTATGTGACAATTTTAATGCCGTAGGGTAATTTTGTTTTTTGTAAGTGAAGTTCTGATGTACTTGAAAATATTCCAGTTGCTTCACTTTTTTTTTTCTTCTGATGCTGTCTTTTTTTTAGGGTATGTATATTAAATCAACATATGATGGCCTCCATGTGATTACCGGAACCACAGAAAATGTAAGTATCATCGCATTTCAAGTTTTGGTGTATGTTCTTCCCTTTTATTGTTTAACAATTTACGTATCTCACATCATTGATATTGACTTTTGAGTAACATGAGCATAGTAAGAGATAAAACTAAAAAGACGTACTGAGTCAGTAAGTGCTGGTTTTAGGAGAATTGCAGTCATTTTATTTAATTTAGAATAACTGTTTACTAAAAGTAAATCTGATGGTTTCTGTTCATGGCCAGAGATTTGTCTTTGTTAAGTATTTTATGGTTCACGACAAGTTATTGTGACATCTAAAATAATCTACTTCCATCTGTCAAATATTTTGTTTATTTTAAGAAACTTATACAAGAAGGGAACATCAGGTAGGGCTGGCTTTCTGAACAGTTAGAGTAAAATTCTGCTTCATTCCTTGGAGGGCAGCAGCATGCAGGTCAGTGGTTCTCACAGTGTGGTCAGCAGCCTCCCTTGGGAACTTATTAGAAAAGCAAATTATTGGGCCCTTCCTAGACCTGTTGAATCAGAAACTCTGGGGCCCAGCCTCTGTTTCTGAACAAGAGATACTCTTTTAACAGGTGATTCTAAGGTATGCTCAAGTCTGAGAACCACTGGAAAGCACTGGGCCAAAAGTCCCCAGGCCTAGGTTCTAGACCAGTTCTGCTTCTTAATGGCAAATCGCTTACTCTCTCATCACATCAGTTTCCTCAGCTATATGTGGGAAAATATATTATTTGCCCTACATACCTCACTAGGTTGTTATGACAATCCAGTGAGCTAATAAATGTGAAAGAATGTGCTATAATGAGCTGTAGAAATGTGAAGTGGTTATGTTGAACATTAATACGATCAATATAATTGATTTCAATAGCATAATAAATCAGTGTTTCTGCATTTAGTTGTCCCAGATTTCCATTCTATTGTTTTATAAGCAGGTGCTGAGCTTTAAATTGATTTCTTTGCTCTCAGAGATTCTGACAAATTACATGTTTGTGCTGTGTTCTTTAAGAGAAGAAGTGAAATTAGTTTAATCTGAAGTTATTATTGATCTCAACATTTCAACAGAATTTTCTTTTAAAAATCAACATTCTATTCATCTAACTCAAATATTATTTTAATCATTTATTGACTTTTTTCCACCTACATCTGTTGGTTTATTGTGATGGTAAAACATATAATGTACATCAGTTGAATTCCTGTAGTGGCTTCACAATTTGGTATAAATATGACAATCATATGGTAATCAAGAATATCAATTAAATGCATATTGTGAGCAATTTAAAAAAATTAAATGCAGTAAGATACTGCAAACTTTACTAATACCACTGAGCATTCTCATTCATTTGTACATTCATGTCATTATTCATATATTCATTTGTTCATTTAACAAACCTCTTTTTCATGTCTGCTGTACTCTAGGCATGGGGCTAGGTATTGGAAGAATTTGTAAAATAGTGGACAGCAAGTCAGGGTTTATCTGTGTGAAAGGTAGTGAAAGTTTCCTTGACTAAAGGAAAGAATAGTAAGTGCTGCCATGTGAAATCAGAAGGAATCACAGAAATGATGACTTTGAGCTATATCTTGAAGAATTGATAGGAATTTCTCTCTCTATACTGTATATTATATGAGATCTGAAAAAAAGTTGAACACTTTGCCTTTCTCATATTAATTATATAGTAATAGTTCATAATGGATGAGTGATCAAAAAATGGATTCTGTGAATAGTTCAGATATGATATTTTTAATTAATAAATTTGCTTGTACCTCTTCTACACATATTTGTGTCTTCCTTTTCCTTAGTGTTATTGTATTGGTCCCTCTCTTTTGGTATATTGACTTTCCCTTTAACCAAATCAGTCATTTCAGATATGAATTTTGTATCAATAGTTCCTCATTTAATTTTTATTTTTCTTGAAAATATTTGACTATTTTTGGTACCTTCAGTCTTTATAATTAGGAGATGTGTTGAGTCCTAGTGAAGCTGCTCACTAAAGTGATCAGGTTATTTTGCTCTCCTTAGTCTCCTATGTCAAATGAGGAGTTTGGACAAAATGAGCTCTAGAATCCCTTTTTACACTCTAAGTCATCATTTATATGACTTATTTCCTTTTTTACTTATCTGTGCAAAAAGTGATTTAAGTTTCTTTCACTTTATTTACCACTTATTATTTTCTATCATGACTAGAGCAACATGCTTGATATTTTTCTTCTGTGCTTTCCTTTTAAATGACAGTTGTGAGCCAGATAGCACAGGGACAGACTCCATATGATAGTGCTATTAAAGTAGTGATTTACAATATTTTCAGGGTTGTTACATGGTGTGGTTTTTTTTTCCTGTTATTCTTAAGATTTAGTTCACATATGAGATGAATTGTCCCCTTAAGAGTATACTTGTGTTACTACTTTGCTGACTGCAATTCCCAGGGATGTCTTATCTTGAAATCTAGTCTATGGCAAAAAAAAAAAAATTATTATGAATTTTAAAAATTTGTTGAATTAATATTAACATTGTTTTAAGACTTCTATATTTTTTAAATAATTGGGAGTGAATAAAAAATAAAGGAACTAGAAATCTCTTTTTAAAGCAAATTGTACACCAGGGCCTCGAAAGTATCATTTTAGTTTGCATATTACATCACTTCTGTCTCTTTTCATAGATACTAGTGAATAATATTACCAGCACTTGTATTTGGTAGATAGATAAATACACATACCTAAAAACCAAACTCACTGCCATTAAGTCCATTCCAACTCATAGTGACCCCCATTGGATTAAAAGGCAGTAAATCTTTACGGAAGTAGATTGTCCAGTCTTCCTTCCGTGGAGTGGCTGGTGGGTTTGAACCACCAACCTTCTGGTTAGCAGTCAATGCCTTAGGCACTACACCACCAGAGCTCCTTAAATAAATACACACATAGTCAAATATATTTTTTTCATAAAAGCACATTTTCTGCATATTCAAAAGTCTATAACCATATTGTCTAATATGCATATAATCAATAATCAGTAGTCACTAGAGGAAAAATAAAGAATATATTTTAAATTTGTTATCCACGTCTACAGTAGTATAACACTTCTATCTTAAGTCTCATTTTAGTTTTCTAAAACTTGTCAGCATTAGTTTACTAAAAGTTGTTTTATTGTTCCTTTATTTTTGTTTATTAAC